CTGTTGCTTTCTCCTGCTGCACACATCCGCCTGCCCCTCACCACCACTGCACATCCACCCCCCCGTGCCTCACTTTGACCTTGTTACTCCCCTCCTTACCATCAGCATTAGCGACTGCACACTTCATCATCCTCATTGACATCTCTCTCACCGTCACCAGCAGCTGGCCATCGCCACGTCGCCGTCATCCTTCTCGATACGCCGCCGTTAACGCCGTCCTCATTCCCCCCCCCCCCCCAATGTTCTGAAATGAAGACAGATGCTGGAATGAGCTCCTGCACTTTGACTGTGTGTCACTGCTGGGTTTGCTGCAGGGGGCGCCGCCGTGCATCCGACCCCACCCCCGCGTGCGTTCTCATCCTTCTCATTCTTGTTCACCACTTGTGAGCTTCACACAGTGTTAAGCATGCTGCCAGACATGTGCCCCACCCACCCCCTGCATGCACTAGCGCTTGAGAGAGGCAACCGTTTTGCGTTTCTTCTCTGAATATTTCAGAATTGTAGAGGGCGGGGGGGGGGGGGGTGCTGACAGAAACGGGCCGCTGATGACCTCTTTCTCATTGCTTTTACTCCTCTTTTTCTCACATCCTCTCAGGCTGTTCCTCTCACTGTCTTTCTTCGCCTCCCTCCTCTCAATGTTCATCACATCGTCTTCATTCCTGCTTCACATTTGTTCTCTGTCCTTCATCCTTCTTTCTTTACCCCCACCCTCCATCACCACCACTCCCTTCTTTTCTAACTTTCATTCTTCCCGCTTGCTCCTCTGTGTCATTGCCTCTCCTCTTTTCCTTTCCCTTTCCTTCACTGTCTTTCTCTCGTTTTCCCATCTCTGCGCTGTGATGTACTCTCCCTGCCTGTCTGATCCATAAAGGGCCATCTAAGGCCTGTGCTCGGATAATTCATTGCCTGAGCATCGCCTCACATATCTGCAGGGTCAGACCCACAGACAGGCAAACAGACAGAGAGGAAGACGAACAGAGGAGATCTGAAGAAAAAGAAATGGAAAAAAAGATGCAGCTTATTCTTCAAAACCAAAGACCCCAAACCAAGATCCTGTGTTTGTGTATAAATTGTACCGCGACCTCCTTCTGCACACTGCATGCCTCATCACTTCACCTATCTCTAACACTTGAACCAAATTACTGTCATCGACTTTGTTTCTGGTGAAATGAGCAGACTTTGTGCTGCACAAATACAGGCTCGATGTCATCAGCGTCGACTGATTCTTTTGCCAATCAGTCAGATATTACAAGCATTTTTGGTTGTTCAAACGCCATTGTCCAGTAACTGCTTGAGCGAGTGCTTAGTGCAGGGGTTCTCAAACCTTTTGGGTCTGGGGACCCCTTACAATGGTGAAAAAAATTGCATGGACCCCCTCATAAACCCCATGCTGTTTTAAAAGATAATTTATTGTCATTTCAACCCCTAAATGCCATGGGAATATATTTTTATTTAGTTTATTATGTTTGTTTTATTAGTTCATTGTTCTCCATGCATTTTTAAAAATAAAAACCAAATTAACAATTTAGTTATTTTTTGAGGACCCCCAAGATACCTCTAGCAGACACCTAGGGGTCCTGGGACCCCAATTTGAGAAGCCCTGGCTTAGTGAACATAAACACAGTTGGTCAATGAACCAGCTAACAATTTGTGTTTTTATGTGACTGACTTGGTGCATCTAAATTCTGACTGGGCCAATAGGATCATTGTTGAGCAAAAGTGTCTCAAGAATTTGTCCAAAGATTATTTCGGGGACATTATAGTTAATTATTTGTCTTCCTTTAGTAGATGTTGACATGACCCTTTAAAACGTGTAAAACTGAAGGCCCACAGGCCAAATATTGTCAGGGTCAACTGAGACCCAAAGTGTAGACAAACCAAGGAGTTTAAAAAATATACTGTATTTATACTACAAAGAACAAAAGGCCAATGCAGCAGCAAAACTTACATTAAGTCCAAGGCCAATGGCATGAGTCAGTGTAATGTTCCAGAAGTCTGTGGAAAAACTGCAAAAATAAATAAGTAAATAAATAAATAAAGTGTAATGACCCACTAAAGCAGTGTTTTTCAACCCTGGTCCTCAAGGCACACTGCCCTGCATGTTTTAGAGGTCTCCCTGTTTTGACACACCTGATTCTTCTTCTTCTTGTTTGGTGTTTTATGGCGGTTGGCAAACAATGGAAGGTGTGCATTACCGCCACCTACTGATATGGAGTGTGGATCAAAATACTTTTATGTGATGTTGCTTATGTTCTTTTTTCTAACTTTGTTTTTCTAAAAAAAAAATCTTTAAAACAATTTGTAAACTTTTACTTCTGGTTTCTTTTTGTAATTTATTTATTGTATTAAATGTTTCTTTGATTTGACACACCTGATTCAGATGATTAACAGGCTTTTGTTGAACTGCAATCAGTTACCAATTGAAATCAGCTGCGCTGAAGCAGTCCAGAGGTCTATAAAGTACTTGAAGTAAAAGTAAAAGTACATGAACAGAAAATGACTTTGGTAAAAATTGATTTCACTGATGAGAAAACTACTCAAGTAAAGTCATAAAACTGTTCACAAAGTCTGGGAAAGTAAAAGTACTTTTACACACTCTCTAAGAAATAAACTGTTGAATTTACCGAACCGAACTGGCTCCATTAAGTCAGGTTGAGTAAATTAAGCCATGTATGTATATACTTTGCTCAGTGGACATGCCTTTGAGTAAATTCAACACTTCCTTTTTTAGAGTGCAGAAACATCTACTTTCATGATGAGTTTGAACATATTTAATTTTGTAACAAGTAACTAGGTGTTACATTTTAAAGTAAAGAAGTAAAAGTATAATTTTTTAGCTTCAAACCATAATGTAGCCATTAAAAAAATTATTGGTAAAATTACAAATCCTCAAAAAAACTACTTAAGTACTGTAACGAAGTAAATGTACTCAGTTACTATAAACCTCTGAGGGGAAACATCTAAAACATGCAGAGCAGCGTGCCTTGAGGACCAGGGTTGAAAAACACTGAATATGACAGATAAGTAAATGAACATAATCCCAAACACCTGGTGCGGAATCAGGTGAGGGTGGGCGTGGCAAGCTGACCAGCAGAACACACTGAATGAAAGATGAACAAAGAGAAACCTCACAAGACCACCACGCCAAACCAAGCAATGGAAACACAGACCAGAACCAAACCTGATGAGAAGAACTGACCTAAAGAAACAAAACACAAGGAGTGATAAGGTAAAGACAAGCATTCCAAGTTACAGAAAACAAGACAAAAAACAAATGTATTCAACAAACAATACAACAAATCTGGCCCTCCTTAAATCTCATCCAGCCCCAAATTTAATACCTTAAATGTAAATTTGTTTTATAGTTCCTCTTTTTGTCACTGGATTAATTTCATTCTTCAAGTGACAGCTGGCCAACTTTCATGACTAGAAAATTGAATCTAACTTTTTCAGTAATCTTAGACTTTGTATTTTCTTTTTATTATAAAGTGCAATGAGTATGTTTTTAGTGAGGGTTTTCTTTTTGCTGACTGATTTGCTGGGTTGTGAAAAAATATTTCTCTAAGAAATAATTATTCAAAAAGTTGTTGGTTTAGAGTATGACATAAGAAATGAATGCTTAAGAACATCTGTCAAATTTTAATCTTTTAGGTTGTGTATTTTCTAAATGCTACATAAAATCTGATCCTTAAAGTTAATCTGTATTTCTATAAGAATAATTTATTAAAGCATCTTTTGAACAAATGACAAAGATTAGCTCTTGGCTTACGTTTTAAAAGAATGCTTCACTTTAAATCAAAAACTAAGTGGCTCAATTTGCTTTAGGTATGAAAGATAACTTACTGTTTCTACTTTATTCTTTGAATATAAAAACAAAAATTGAGTAATATTAGCAGATAACTCTAATTTATGAGAAAAACAGTTCTGTAAAGTAGCCTCACACACATGGTCACTCATATCTGTGGAACGAGGCTGAGCTGTTCTGCACTCACTCAGCTTTAACAGATGCAGTCGGCAGCTTTGTAGCAAAACTTCCCTGCCTTTTTTTTTTTTCATTTTTTTGTAACAATGAAATTGTTTTCTCTGTTATGCATGCAGATAAAAAGCTCAGGTGGTGTTTTATTGCCCTCGACGCGTGATTACTAAAGCTCTGACACCCTGAGCGCAGTGGGTTGCTGGAATAATGACGGCTTGTTAGCAGTTGGGTGAAGACATTCGGCTGCTTCTGAAGAAACTTTTGAGCCCCCCCCCCCCCCCCCCCCCCCCCCCCCCACAAAAAATAAAAAAAAATAAAAAAACAACCAGATTTACTCGCTGAGTTGAACTGATTCAATGGAGGTTTAAGGTCCTGTGCTGCTCACAGTAAAGTCTATGTATAGAAGATAGACAGAATGGTTTAGCTGCTGGACACGATGAAGTCAAATCCATAAGGAGTAGTGTGCAAATCTCTTTATTCCATCTTGTCTGACATGAATGACAAATGTGTGCATATTTGTAGAAGCAGCGTTTGTGTTTGACTCGTGTATCTGTGACCTAAATGCTCGTGTTGCACCAAAGACTACAATTCTTCCCGCTATGTGAAAAATTGAACATCTTGTCAGTGTTTGAGCCACTTCTGGCTGCAGATGCACAACATGTTTTCCCCCACGATGTTCGAAACAGTGAGTCTGGTCCTATTATCACTGCCTGCCTTCAGAAGATCAGTAGACTTTTTTTATATGTACTTTGTTAAACTAACACAAGAGTCTCTCCGGCTTAGAAAGAGGCTGATGATGAAACTGTTTTTGGCAAACTCGTGTAGCCGCTTCCTTGTAAGGTGTTCTATTTTCTGTGCATTATTCGAGGGAGTCGAAAATAGAAACTGATATGTCAGAAAGAGACAGTGATAAAAAGCCAGAGGCAAACCAACCAGACACACACACACTGGTTTTCCTCACGATCCATGCCACATTTCTTCTGAAATTCTGTCGTTTTCTTCTTCTTCTCTTGTATTTTTGCAGCTTTTCCTGATCACAAGGTCTGATTTGCAGCTTGACTGAGAGTACAGGAGCGAGACGAGAGTTTGTCATGGAAACCTACAAAAACCTGCTGCTCCTGGGAGCCATCGCAGCGGCCTCCGCCTTCATGGTCACCATCCTCATCGTCCTTGTCTGCGTAGGTTGCCAAAGGTAAGGCAACTGAGAAATAAAAAATAGAAAAAAGAAGTGTGTGGAACAAAGTGAGGAGAAAAAGAAAGTAGAAGAGAGAATAGGGATGACGGCCCATTTTCTCAACTGCCACATCCTTCTCATCAGCTCCACTCCTCCTTTCATGTGTCTCCCACACTTCTTCCCTCCGTTCTCTCCCTCTCCATCTCTTTTATCCGCCGCTCTGAGCTCGGCGGCGGTAATGAATGTTAATGCAAAGAGGGTCCGATCCGATGATGCTTACAGGACACTGAAGGAGGAGGGAGGGCCAGCGTCAGAGCCGCCTTACGTCCTCACCCTGCGAGAACGCAGTGGAAAGGCTGAAGCACTGGGACACCCCACGGTTTAAGGAGGATCAGAGTCTGAGCCAGGGAAGAGAGAGGGAACAGTTTTTTTTTTCCCCCCGTCTTGGAAACCTTCGGGACCAATCAGAAGCTGCATTGTGGCTTTGTTGCCATGGGATACGCAGATAAGGATGTAGAAAAATGTCAAACTAGCTTATTTCGTGGAAATAAAACCACACTGCTGTTCCGATCTGAAGAACGGCATGGAGTATATGCTCCCAGCTGGATCTTCAGTAGTTTGCTGATCCATATCTACTCAGTCTATTGATACAAAGAGGAAAAAAACACGGCTGCAATGTGTTTCCTAAATTCCAGGGATTAAAAGAAAGTGTGTGTCTGTCTTTTAATCTTAACCCCCCTAATTTGCCATATTATTATAAAAAGCTGCATGGAAGCTCTTCCCATTTTTATATCATGGCCCTAGGGGTATATTGGCCATATGTTTGTAGCAAACAGTCCCAGTTTGCCGGAGAACACAATATTTTGCTCCAGTAACATGAATCTGACACAATATTTCCAGCATCTTGCAGAATAAGATGACACAGCAGGGCTCCTGCACCTGTTTGCAAACCCAAAGTGCTATTTATTGCCTCGCTGTGTTTTGCAGCGCAGCAGTCGGATCTCACGCACGCAAGCGCGACGCAGGGTCTCATCCTCCAAAGCGAGAGAAAATAGACGAAAGGCAGAGTGGTTCTCGCAGTCACACCTGCGCCTAAAGAGCCTTTTTTTTTTTTCATTCTTCCTTTACTTCAGCTCGTGGCTCTCGCACCATATCAACCGTTACTTGGAGTTACGGTCACCTCCAGGGAGCCACAGTGATGCATAAACACTTGCAGAGAAACATTTGTTTGAAAAGGCAAAACTTCAGGGGAATAATTACGATTTTTATCTGTAGAAACAAACGCGGTGAAGGTCGTCCGCTGTCCTTTCACTGTTTTATCATCCAAGGACTTTTATGTCCTAACCAGAGTTGGATGCTGATAATATCTATCTGTTTTGAGTTTGTATGTGTGTTTCTCTTTCCATCCATGGTTTTCTGCTGACCTTGCCCACTTTGATGTCATGTCAGAAAAAGCAAGAGCAAGCACCCCCCAGCCGGAGAAAAAGGGACGTCTGTGAATATGGTGAGCCGTGCTTTTATTTTTTTTCCTGTCCACCTCGCTTCTCTGTCGTCATCGTCGTCTTCTCTGAAACCCTAGTCATATGCACAGCTGTGGATGCATGTGTTTTGCATGTTTTATGCCTCCCATTAACAAATCCGTATGTGTGCGACAGCAGGGAACGCTGCGGCATCCGAAACTGAACTCCATGAGTAAATCTGACACCAGGCTGCATGAGATCAATCGTTTTCCCTGCAATGGAAACTGTAAGTGGTAACTAACCGCTCCTGTGTGGTGATAAATAATAAACTGCTCTGAGCCATTTAATTTTATCAGCCATGTGCCTTTTTTATGCGTTTTTTTCCCCCTTTTTTCATTTTCTCATCTCTTCCTCTGCCCAGCTGTTAGTAAGAGCCGCCCAGCTAGCATGGACCTCCTGCTCCTCCACAGCCGGCGCTCCCAGACAGACCTGAGGCCCTCCCATGGACGCCAGCTTCCTCAGATCCCCACCAGCCCCCAGGGTGGAGGAGGGGACACAGGAAGTGACGGAGGAGGAGGTGGGGGCGGGGAGGCTAGAGACCACACCTACACTGAGGTGGGTCTGCGCAATAATCCCACCCCCTCCCCCTACCTGGACGACGGCTTGTACGAAAGCGTTGGGGTGAAAGAAAGTGACGCAACCCCCAAAGTTCCCTCTGCTCCCCCGTCCACGTCCGCCAGCACGCCGTCGACGGTCAGAGCAGCCCAGAGCCCTCCGGCTAACGCTAACGGAGCTCGCAATGGAAACGTACGTACAAGCACGCAAATTACAAATTTTTACTTTTATTGTACTACTTTGAGCGTGAACTCCTTGTTTATCATATATCCAGTTGGACTTTCAGTCAAAAAGCTTAGACAGTTCTGTATTTTTTTCTATTCATATTGAAAAGAAACATAACGAGTGAAATTGCATTTTTGCAAAAAAAAAGGGGCAGTGAATTATAAGTGCTAAAAGATAGGTGAAATTTGTAGCAAAAAGCTAGCTAAAAAGTAAAGTAGAAAAAACAGTAACTACAAGCTAAAGTTAGTAAAAAGTTAACTACAAGTACAGTAGTGCCCATTGGTTGACCTGATGGATAGCCTCTCGTCAGAGCTAAACAACCAAATAAAATCTGAAGCTCCTATGTTTAATAGTTTTTGAGTTATAACCATTTTTGTATGTCCAGATTCCCCCTTTTTCAGATAAATTGTGGGTCGGGGGGGGGGGGGGGCTGATTGGTGGGTCTGTTGGATAGAGCTTCATCAGAGCTAAACAACAAAAATAGTCTGAACCTCCTATGTTAAACAGTTTCTGACTTATAAGCATTTTTACATGTCCAGACACCCCCTCTTTGAATGGAGCCCCCCCCCCCCCCCACACACACACACAAAAAAAAAAAATGGGGGTATTGTCAAACCGTTGGCTGGCGCAGTGTAGGTCAGACCCATCTACAGCTCTGCCAAATTTCATGTTGTTCGGTGCAGCTGTTTTTGTGCTACGGTTGACCAAAAATCACTGAAAAATAAATAAATAAATAAACCGTACGAAAACAATATGACTCCCACTTACGCTTCACATACGGGGGTCATAATAACTAGATACAGCAGCAACTACTACGCAACATGCCTGCATACGCTACAAAACACACCCCTTGTCCACTACAAAACATGCCCAGTTAGTGGGTTAGAGTTAGTGTTAGGTGGTCATGGTGTCATGTTTGCTGCAGCTGAACCCTACTCAAAGGCTAGTTAGAAGTAGCACAAGACCAGATGAAAGAACCAAAGGATTAGCTAAAGGCTAACTAAAATCTTAAAGTAGAAACAGGGTAAATAAGAGTAGGATGCAGTGAGCTAAAGAAAAAACTAGTTGAAAGCTAAAAATGGCAAAAGACCATGTGAAGATAGCAAATGGCAAGCTCAAAGTAGGAAAGAGCTAGTTAAAAGCACAAAGTAGCAAAAAAATAATAGCGGCAAAAGGCTAAGTAAAAGTAGCAAATGGTTAGCTAAAAGCTAAAATTAATTTAAGACAAAAAAAGTTTTAAAAACCAACCAAAGAGATCTTAATGTATTTTATGAGGAAAATATGAAATAAATTAAATGATTGCATTGTATTGTAGGAATAAAATCCAGCATCCCTCTTCTGAATGAGCTGAACGTTTTACTATATGAATATCTAACATGGCACAACCTTTACAAACTGCTACATCAGCGTTCATACAGTTAGAGTTGCTTTAAAAAAAAACACTAAAATCAAAAACATATTTTTTCTGCACAATTACTGTAGCTGAAACAGTTTATGATCTTTCCCTGACATACAGCACTGACTTGTTTAAAGGTCGGAGTGGAAATGGTTCTCCCCTTGGGTTAAGTGGTATTGACTGGAGTTTAATCGTTCAGGGTCTTTGCACCAGTGGATTTTCCACTTTTTTTGATGGGTGACTTTAAAATGAGTGGTGACATAATGACATGTTCCATAAAACACTGTGTTTTGTTTCTTCTCTCTCTCTCAGGGAGTCAGAGGGAATGGTAGAGGGAACGGCACCATTAATGGAACAATGACAGGCAGAGGTAATGGCGCGGCTGGAGTAAACAGATCCCCTCTGTCCTCTGTTAACTCTTTGGCTGTTCAAGATACATCAGCAGCCGAGTATGCTTCCATAAGGAAGTATAAAAAGGTATGACCCGAACTATTTAACTTAAGATGTTCTGTTCATGTTAGTGCTGTCAGTGTCTGGACATTTGTTTGATGCTAACTTTGTCTAAAAGTTTCGACTACAATGGTCATCAATCATGATTTGATATCTCCAGGTTGACAAGTTAAGCAGGAAGGAGAATAATGGCGCAGACAGCCAGTCAGACAGCCAATCAAGCGTGAGCGATTCACCCTCTGCTGCCCCCCTTCCTCTACATCGCAGCCAGGAATTTCCACGCAAACCGCTGGAGCTATTTCACCTGCACTCCTTCCCAAAGGTACAAGAACCATCTGCCCTGCAAATATGGTCCCCTCTAAACCCAAGTTCCCACCTGTAAGAGTGCCATCTCATCACTAGAGGGCGTTATCCAACAACAAACCTGTTCAGCCTTGAAGCTTACTTTTTCTCCCTCATTGCCAAACTGTGAAGTACATGTAAATGGTGCAAATTGTTTCCAATATACAGCTTAAATAGATAGTTTTTTTTTTATGGGTCATACTTTTCCTTAAGAGTTTTATTTTTTGGATATTTATTTTACTTGTTTTTTTTCCCTTCTGGGTCGCAGAAAGCCAGAGTTCATATTTCCAGCTGTGAGAGAGGCAGGGTACACTATCACAGGGTCACACAAAGACAAACGATCATTCACACACACCAACGGGCAGTTTAAAGTTACCAATTAACCTAACATGCATGTTTTTGATCTGTGGGGAGAACATGTAAACTCCACACTGAAAGTCCAGGAGGCAACCTTGCAAACTTTTAGCAGCGAGTCGGCAGCACTAACCACTGCACCACACCGTTGCCCTCAGGGAAACTTGAAAAGGTTATTTAATTTTGCAAGTGGTAGTCACTGACTCACACTTTTAATCTATGTGTTAAACCCTTCGTAATGTGTGTGAGTATGTCTTCTGCCCCTCTGCACTGTGCAGCGCAGCACTCTATCAGAGCGAATAGTAGAAGGAGGGATTATGTAAGAGCCTGGCAAGCTGCCCAGCTGTGTGTATGTGTGTGTGTCTCTTTGGGTGTTCCTGTTGAATCTATCACCGTGTCTATCTAGAAACAGCTAACAGGTAGCCAGCAGCCAGAGCGAGGATAAATACTGCACTCATATTGAAACCATTTGCTCAGCTCCAGCTAAGATTCCTCACTCTCACTGCACAGGGGGAACATATAAAAGTTTAATCATTCTCAGCTGTATGTGCACCACCACTTAGGGTTTACTAATTGGTTACTAATTGGTCTTGAATACTAGTAGTTAAAAAAACCTGCAGGAGAAGTGTTCCTCTTGGGCGTTCATTTATTATTGCTCGGTACCCTGAACGGCAGGTGATCATGTAATTACCCGAGTCTGTGTTTGTTTGTTAGCAAAGTAGCTCATGGTCTCATTTAACTTAGAAAGTATTAACTGTATGTACATTTACAGCTGATTAATTTTTTGAGTTAACTTGAATCAAGATGTCCTGATGCATCTCAGTAATCCAGGTAGAAAAAAATCAAAAGAAAAAATAATTAGGTCTTCTGGATGGGTTGTTCTTTAGTAAAATGTTTCGTCTCTCCTCCAAGAGACTTCTTTAGTCTGAGTTTCAGGTGAACTCAGCCTTGTAAGCACTGCCTCCACATGGTGGACAAACAGGTTAGTCATATGCAAAAGAGGGCCATCGCCTAACAATAGGCTTGATTAGCTCCATTTAGTCACATGCAAAAGAGGGCCATCGCCTAACAATAGGCTTGATTAGCTCTATTGTTAGGTGTGTTGTTTGTTATAAAAAACAAGGGGACATTGAACCCCGCTTGCACTCACTACATACACATAACAAAACACCAAATAACCACAGCCGAAGCATCCAAACCAATAAGTTAGGTGATGGGCCACATGACCCTCTATGAATAATAGAGCTAATCAAGCCTATTGTTAGGCGATGGCCCTCTTTTACATATGACTAACCTGTTTGTCCACCATGTGGAGGCAGTGCTTTTAAGGCTGAGTTCACCTGAAACTCATCAGACTGAAGAAGTCTCTTGGAGAGACTGAACGTTTCACTAAAGAAGAACCCATCCAGAGGACCTACTTTATTTTTTCTTTTGATTGAATCAAAATAGCTCCAGTGCAGTCTATATTGCAGTTGCAATTCAAAAATACCCTGTTTTCCTGTTAAATCCACATATTCTTTTCTGCTTTTCATGTCCTCTAAGGTCTTTTCTAAAACCTCCTCTGCTGGAGTTGAATAGAGGTTATGTTTTGGTGTGTGTGTGTGTGTGTGTGTGTGTGTGTGTGTGTGTGTGTGTGTGTGTGTGTGTGTGTGTGTGTGNGTGTGTGTGTGTGTGTGTGTGTGTGTGTGTGTGTGTGTGTGTGTGTGTGTGTGTGTGTGTGTGTGTCACTGGGTCTGCCTGTCTGTCAGCAGGACATCACTGCGCGAGCAGATTTACATAAAACCTTGTGGAACAGTTGGTCACAGAGCGAGGAGGAATTGAAAAAAAAAAATCAGATAATTGAAGCCCTAAGCAGTCGTTTCTGTCTCTGTAAAACAACACAAGTCATCTAGTAAATTTATGGTGTTGTTTTCTGGCTTTTAAAAAGTGAAGTGTTTTGAAACTGCAACCGACACATTAAAAAAAAAATGCGGTTGTCACACAATAACAAGACAAGTCCTCCGATTTTATATTTTGTTTATAAAAAATAAAATTTCGTTAGACATGATTTAAGAGGTTTTTAAATAAACTGTTGATGGAGACTTTACCTGTGTACAATTTCTGCAGTGTCATCGCTGTTTTACTTGTGTAAGGAAAACAAACACGGAAAGTTAAAATTAGATTACTGCGTCATTTCTTTATAGTTGTGCGGTTAAATGTTTGCACAGACTAACAGGTTGTCATTTGAATGTGTTGATCAGGAAGCAGTGTTTATGGGGAATGGAGAGCAGTACATCTGGAAGCCGCCAGAGGAGGATGACATCATCACCTTGCATCCACCGCCGCACGGTGGAGACAGTGGGCAGGGGCACCCGTCACCCCCCACTGCAAAGGAGGTTAGTATGGGAAGCATGTTTACACTGATTTGATTGGAGCTGAGAGAAGCGAAAGAATAATTGTTGTTTTTGACTAGAAATGGTCTAGTTTTAAATGTTTTTTTTTTTAACTGATGGGCCTCCAGTTTGATTGGGCATGTCTGCACCTCAACCCTGCTGTCATGCTCAGTTTCTGCTTATAAGAAGAGGTTACATGGATTCACAAGACACACCCACCAACCACATGCATGAACCATAACCTCAGTCACCCCCACCCACCCCCATCTTTCAGCCTGTCAACACACATCCAGACAGAGCAGGCTTTTCTGTCACCCGCCGCCTCGCTTAACGATCAAAAAGTTGTGCTCAAAATGATCACCGTTCTGCCTGATCGATCCAGGCAAACAGAATCTGTTTCAATATACAGGCATGACAAAGGTTTACATACATGTATGTACATGTACTTTCTGTCATGTGTCCGAGGCAGTTATTCTGGGTCGACTGAGGGGGTCCCTGAAATAAAATCCTGTTTATTATTAGTGTTCACTTCTGTTTTCCAAGTCCATCCTCCTGACTTCACTACTCCTTCTAAATCAGTCTGAGTTTACCACATCAACAAAAAATAACTTCATGCAGTTAATTATTGACTGCTTTCTACTTCCTCTATATTAGTAGTTTGCAAACTTTTCAGCTTTTACCCACCGGATAATGATGGCAGAAGTTGGTGACGCCCCCAAAATATTGCTAGTTTATGGATGTAAATGGCATGGAAAGGTTTGGGAATCCCTGGCCTAAACAACAGCATAATGACAATACAAATAACCCTAAAAACTATACTGAATGTGATCATACTACTATACTATTTATTCATTGTAATAATAATTTTTTGCATTAAATTTGATTTCTGAAGATCGTCCGGTTTCTTGACCCACAATAAGGTCCCGACAGTAACTTTGACATCTACTGCTCCAGATAAGTGGAAAATAAGTCAATAGTTTACATGATGCACATGTAAAGTAGAAGAATTTAGACGCTGCTTTCCGCAATGAAGGAGTTAAATCTCTGCTCTTCAGTACCAGCTAAAGTCCTCCGTTACAAATCAGACTGATAAACAGAAAAATTAACTAATAGTTTCCCCTTTTTTCTTTTAACTATTCCTCCTGACTTAGTTGTTGTGTTTTTCCACTTTAGGGTTTGCTGTTGCCCTAACATGCCCCTATACTCTGGAGTTTGTCAGTTGCAGCCGTCAGAAGGTGTTGAGTTTCCACTCCCAACTGAATCTCCTCCTCTCCTCTGCTTCTCTCTCTCTCTCTCTGTCTCTCTCTCTCTCCCCCTTCTGCCTTTTTTTTTTGCTCCCCTTTTGTGGCTGCCGGGAGGCCCTGCCCCTCGCCCGAGCAGTCACGTTGCATACAGCGTGTGTCCCACCAGAAGAAAATCAACCGCTGCAAGACTTGTTTGAGAAACTTTTCTGCTCATAAAGTTGATCGCAAACAGATGCAAGCAGCTCGTGCGTGCTGCTGTGTGTTTCCACACACCATGGGTGCATGCAGAAAGTGTTAACTGTAAGTGGAGAGCTGGAGAATAGAAAATGTATCAGAAAAAAAGTACAGTTTGATGGTGGGGGGGGGGGTATACAATAGCAGGCTTCCTCACCAGCTGTAAGCTGAGTTTTGAAATCCCCATCATCTTGTGACTTCCTTCCTCTGTTGCACAGAGCTACACACACACACACACACACACACACACACACATACACAGTGCATTGTCTGCACACACTTATAGCTTACGCAGGGGTCGTATGTTTATCCAAAAAGGTCATACCAAAGACTTGTGGGGGCAGGGTTTGACTGAGCCGCTGTGGTCTCGTCTTAGAAAAGAGAGCTTTTCATAGTTATTACACTTTAAAGGCCTTTTTCAAGGAAACTTGGCACAAAAAGTAAGGAAATTCATGTTTGGTAGATTATTTCTTTGTTGTAACAATGCTTCTTGGCATTAAATCTCATACCGGCCTCCTGATTGTCAGCACCTGGGGGTACCAGAAGCTCAAAACAAGTGTCAGTAACAACCAAATAAACGGTTTGACAATAGCTGAGAAGATTTGGCTTTTTTTTCTTGTCGAAGCCCACATACTCAGCTCTACTGCGCATTCCACAAATGTATGTTCCTTACAAATGTGGCACCATTTAAAAGTGAAATTAACAGGCTTCTCAACGGTACAAGACTTATTGCCAAGAAGCATTGTTAAAACAAAAAATAGTCTACCAAACACTAAGTTCATATTGACAGCTGCCTTTCATGACAGAATTTTAAACTTTAATAAAAGGAGACTTGAGACAAAGGAAAGTGTTTTTTTTAGCAATTTTAGCTAAATTTCTGTAAATGGATTGAGTTTGTGTCATTTTAGTGTTGGCAAATGTCAATCTGCTGTGGTGGCTGTCTCAAATTGGGGCAGCAGTAAAAGTTAATCAGTTGTAGACGTACATTTAATAATTAGTTCCTGAAACTGTTATTAATCTCTGCTTGATGATTCATGAGTTATATAAACAAACGCACAGACAGGGATTATAATGTCTTGTCAGTTGTTTTCTCCGCCCGTGGTTCAGTGTTTTCTTTTTGTAGGAAGGAGGACAAAAACAGTGGTTAGTGTTTGGTGGACACGCAGCGTTTGCATAGCCGGTGTTTCTCGGAGCAGTAGAGCGGAGCCGCTGGTGTGGGCGTGAACTCGGCGGGTAAACACCGCCATGCTCCGCAATCTTCATCTGCTCCTGCGCTCCACTCGGGTGGAATTTTGACACAGACATGCCAGAGGTCGCAGAGCTGGTTTATCAGAATTCCTCACGCTTTTCAGTTTTGAGCCCTGGATATCACTGTCATCATACAGAAATGTGCGTTTGTGAATGAGGAGGCACTTTTATACACCTGCAAGCACGTACAGCTACAGGGGCACATGTGGTATGTGCAAAGTTCATTTGCGAACACACTAAACAATTTTCTTTTATTTTGTTCCCCCCTCTCCGATTTCCAGCTTAAACTTGGCCGCCGTCCAGATCTTTCACACCGTGCCTCGCAGCTCTGTTGCCAAAGCAGTTGTGGTGAAATTTTAACAGGTCCATCCACTGCAAAGCTAACGCCGTCACTGCCTAGAGCTCAACGGACTGATAACACAGTTTACACTGCCTTATCCATACCTGGTCAAAATGGGTCAGGTTGCGTCAGGGTGCAGGCTCTGTTAACAAAATGTGCAAAGTACCGTGCATAAACACACAAACCACACTCATACAATCATTCACAATAAAACCTGCATTCTCTTTCCACTCCTTTGATTATTTATGTTTTTAATTGTATGCATTATATATATTATCATATATCAGACATTCCTCCATGTGAACATGGCTGTAAAACTTTGGAACAAGGCTTGTCACCCATAACTCGTGTGATGTTATTAACTCTTTAACTAACACCATCCTGTGCCCTCTTCTGTCTGCATGTGTTCTCAGATTGCAGACACTTATTCCATCGTATGCAAAACCCAGAAAAAGAAACCTCCCATGGAGCACAATGGTGCAAAAACCCTCCCACGCTCCTTCGGTGGTGAGAGGGGGAACCAGGGTTCCAGAGGCCGAGGCCGAGGAGTCCAAGGCCAGGCTCGTTCCCAGGAGGAGCCCTGCTACGAGCCGGTGGGAGACAGGTCCTGGTCCTCAGCTGCGGTCGAATCAGACCCCGCGTACGCCAGTATCGACACCCACCGGAAGCGGGAGCAGGGGGGAAACGATAACAGCACAGGTGGGGGTAGTGCTACTCTGAAGAGGAAGAAGCAGACGCCACAACAGCAGCAGCAGCAGCAAGCAGTACCAGCAGCACCACCACAAGGCTCAGGTCCCACCGACCCTCCTGTTAGAGGCCTCCCTGGTGGGGAAAACTTCTATGAGACCATCAGCGACGTAAAACAAGGGGGCAACGCCTCCGGCACTACCACCATCTTCACCTTCAACGATGGGATGGAGATGTATGTCACTGGCCTGTAGCAAACTGGTAGGCAGACGGGGTCCAGAATCCACTGGCACAGGTTCTGTCCACCAGCCAGCAGGTCGCTGTACATAGACTCAGACCCTCTATAGTCAATCAACATGAGGATCCATTTTGTGTTGACATCAGGTACAAACAGGGTCTTAATCCAGGTTCAAGACTTCCTTCGATTGGTCTGCACTTCAGAACCAGCCTAAGCCTAGTCCAGCCCAAATATGGACCAATTCCATCTGAACAAAAACAGGGGGGGGGGGGGGGGGGGATACAACTGGAACATCTTGTTTATTTCAGTGATCTGTGTCACACTCACCTGCTTGTGCATCATTTTTCATAATATCTTTATTTTTATATGAACACTGTACCTCACAACCTGAGAAGAACACACTTTAAATATATATTTAAAAAAAAGTGCATGCATTGTGCAAACTCACAGAAATTAGTCATGGAAAAGGAAAAAAAAGACATCAGTAGCAATGAAATGCAGAAATGTGGAGTGTAAAATATCTAATCACGCGTGGACGTACACATGCCTCGTTCACTGGGCGACTCGTGCAACAGAAGCAGATTTATATCACCGATATTCGTGGTGCTCGACTCTCCCTGAACAGACGTGGAACAGGTTCTGGGAGCACACTGACTCGTTGTCGAGCAGGCGGCGGTTTGGGTGCTTTGTTCAAACACGGGCCCATAATCTGCCGGTCTGCTTAGACGCACAGAAGTAAATGAAAGCCGCTGTCGTCATTTCACAAAAATGTCATCAGTGTGCCCCCCACCCCACACACACACACACAAGCTCATCAGCAGCTCTCCATTCAGTCCTCTGTGGGGCTACAGAAAGTCAGTTTTGCTCCATAATAGAAGCTTTGTTTCAATTAAGCCAGAAGCTGAAGACCCACTCTCCGATTTGACAAACATCTGTTGCTAGAGGCATGTTGACACCCCCCCCCCCCCCACCCCACCCTCCCCACTCAGACACATATTTGTCAGAGTCGTGCAAGGTGAAGTGATCGGGTCAGGGCCAGTGAATGGCTTGTGCAAGAATTTCCCCAGAGTGTTTGTTTCACAATGGAAGACTTCAACTATATCACAGGGATGAGTGAGAGACGAATATTTTTGGAAGAGAGAAAGAGAGAGAGAGAGAAAAAAAAAGGAAGCGAAAGAGTGTCCAAAACAATGCAGGGTTTTTTGTCGTGTGCAGTTAATGTCATTTCCTTTATGAATTGTAAACATCTCAATTTTATGATTTTTTTTCTTTTTTTCTTTTTATGCACTGGTCAACTGCCCGACTGCTGAGCTTAATTTGTGCATTAGTGTTTTGTAAAAAAAATAAAAATAATAATATAAGGAATAAAAAAATGGGGGTGTATTAAAGCGCAGATCTGATTTGTTTTCAGGACTCGAGTCAAAACCAGAGCTGCTCACGACTCACCAGACTTGAGTCTTGTGGTTGAAATCGTAACAGAGAGTTTGGACTCCAAAGAAAATAAAGAGCTGCGCATAAAAACTGCCATAGTGTCTTTTGGAAAAGTTTCTCCTCTCCTCTCCTGTCCAACCTCGTCTCCAGCAGCCTCTGTACCGAGTTCTCTTCCATTGTAAACAAYGTCTTGTTTAGTTGTTTTTTCTTCCCCGTGTAGCTTTGGGGAAACAAAAAGGCCACAGGAAGAAGCAAAACACGTGCGGCTTAATAAACGGGCATAAAAGACAAGAAGTGATGAAGGCTGAAAAGGAAAAAAAAAAAGATTGCACAGGAAACGAGTTAAGTAAAATAAGTGTACAAAATGCTACTGTGTCAAAGTATGTACAAAAATAAATGCACACTGTATTTTAAAGCACTGTTTTTTAAAATCCTAACAACGATAAATCCGTTGGATGAATAGCTCACAGCACTGCCATAAAAGAAGTATGTTAATTTATGTTGTTGATGCTAACTTTTTTTTTCTGCTTGAACAAGTGCATGCTTCAATATATGGAGATAAAAACAAAACTAGTGTGGTACTTAACTTATCTCTTGTTTCCACCTTTCTGTTGTACTTTTTTCCCCTTTTTCTTTTTTTGCTGTGTAATGCAAGGCCTAGAGTTGGTTTATCCAAACTCTGTAGGGGTGGGGTGGGGGGATGATAGGAAGGGAGCAGCTGGGTTGAAAAAACGACAGTGTTGTTGATTCTTTGATCCGAGAGGGAGAGGAGGAGTGATCGAGTCGGGGTTGGGGGGTGCAGAGCTGGATGAGGATCACTGCAAATGGACACTGAACCCAAGCCCACCCTCCTTTTGTTTTGTGTTCAAATGCACACACGCACACTCCCCAGCATCGAGTCATTTCCACCCTCTACTGCCACTCAGACCTGAACCCATCCTCCTTCAACCATCATAGACCTCTTTGTTTTTTCCCCCCTTCACCTTTCTCCTGCACTGTATGGAACCGGGGCCTTTGATATTCAGTTCTGAGGGACTCTACGAGTGATAGGAGGGGTGCGGGGCACTGTGGGTCAGGTCGACCCCAGTCTCGTATAAGCTGTGAACCAACAGCTCAACCATCTGATACAAGACATGGTCAGCAGCTGAGATGCTTAAAGGTACTCATCGCAATGTCAGGAAAACAGGTCGAAACAAAAATTTATTATCTAATAAAACAATTTCAAACATTTTCCCCCTTTCATTGATGGTACATGGGGCTTGAAAATGACTAAGAGCTTCCAATTATCACGTGTGTGTGTTTACATACAAAAAACAGCTGAAGTGACCAAAGGTGGGTCAACGATGCCGATGTCATGGAAGAGCTGTTTGGGTGGGAAGATGTAATATTTTTTGATGTATCTGCGCATGTTTACTCAGATTTGTTGAGTAAAGCATGCAGATAAAAAAAAATGGGCTGAAATTGTAAACTTGCAGACATTTCACAAAATCTCTGTGTTTGCATTCACACAGTATTTATGGTGCTCCATAGCCTGCTTGATGCCTGATATTCATTCTCAATTGATGTCTTACTTTCTTTTGAACATTGTAGCACCTGGGTCACAAAAACCTCTCCAAATTAGGCTTGTTTGATTCTATCTATATTTGTTTACTTACACAAACTGTGTGGCAAAAGCTTCAGTGTGGAGGATTCTGCTGGATGCTTTGTTTACATTGAATGCGTACCCGCATTTAAGAATTGCATATCTGGACAACTATTAGTTTTCAAATTGCACCATTTGATATGTTTTATTTTATAGTTTGCAATGGGTACCTTTAACAAGCGCTGATCACTAAAAAAATCAATTATGCTCCTTTTAATTTAAAAAAATATGAATTTATTCATCTAATATGTTCTATTTTAAACTGAGAAAATGCACTGATCTGAATTACGTTGAACAATAATACTCACTGAGACAAAAGGTTTGTTGCACAAACAGTATGATGATGTAAATGTGTAAAATTCTCAGTTGCTGTTCTGATGTTCCAATGTAACATACAGTATACATTATATTTGTTGGGGGCGTTAAAAGGAGATGGTGATCACAGATACATTGTACTTTGTGGATGGAAAATGTTTCATGCTTTTCATGCAGATAAAGATGCTGTTTGTTTTAATATATATATANTATATATATAGTCCTAAATTATAAAATATGGGCCAGTACTGCTGTGACAGCTGTAGCCAATATTGTATGTTCCTCAAGCACAGATTTTAGTTCATAAAAAAGAATAAATATATTATAGTGTGACAGTGCAGATATGCAAAAGATTGTAATGTTTTATATTACCCTTCATAAAATATTAAAGTGAGTTTTTACTTTTCTAATAAAGTGGCACATTATAACATGTTTCTATTGCCTGTGGTCTTTTTCTTTAGGGAGAATGTGAAACTAAACTATTTCTGCTTTGCATCACTCTTATAATTTCAGGTTGCAATAAAATGCCTTGTTTCTTTTATTTTTTAGAAATTATTCATAATTTTGTAGAAATCAGTGTTTGGTTTCTGTATTTAGCGCTATTTTTTAGTAGCAGTGTTAGTGTATGCATGAAGTAAACAGTGGCACTTCCAGAATWTTTTTTAATGCTGTGGCCTTAAGTGGGGTCACTGAAACTTCGGTGCTGGCATACTAAAACCAAAGTAACAGCAGAATTTTTGGAAATTTTTGTTGAGGTTAAATAGGGGTTATTTGATAAATACAGCAATTCAAGAGTTATGGAATCACCTACATAGATCTATTTTAGTTTRTTCATTATTTATGGTTTATATCAGTGTTTCCCAAAGTTGGGGTCGGGACCCAAAGTGGGGTCCCGAAACATCAAGGTGGGGTCCTGAAAAGATTTTTTGAAATAATTACATTTTTGCCTTAGTTGTTACAAAGGAGTGAGGTTAGTATATTTAAAATGATAAATGTAGTATTAAAAATATTGTTACTTTGCACATGTTTTGTTGACCTGATACAAATGTTTATCATCCAAAAATAGTTGGGGGCACAGGTCTCTGTTACTGTTTTGTGGGTCAAAAGCTGAAAAGTTTTGGGAACCACTGCACTTTGGTTCCCAAACTTGGGCTTGGGACCTAATTAAGGGTCATGAAGCACCTTGGATAATCTCCAGAAATCAATTTAAAGGGTAATAAAATAATTGCTGATGTCATATTTTCCCTATAATTATTACAAAAACACAAAATAAGTAAAAATAAGTATTTATATTTGTTTACAAGCTGTTTAGATTGTCAAATAGCCCGTGTTTTAGGGTTATTAATGAAGTTTGTGTACTCAGACCAGTAATATTTGGGGTCACAAGTTATTGCCGTGGATATTTTGTGGGTCAGAAGAGAAAAAGTTTGGGAACCACTAGTTTATATTACTTGTGAGGAAAATCACTGTCACTCTGTATCTTATTGAAATTACTATAGTTTTAAGTTTTATTTTTAACTTTTAATAAACTATATATATTTTTAAATGGTAAATAGCCTGAACTTGTACAACACTTTATCAAGTCCAAGAACTTCAAAGCGCTTTACAGCACAGTCATTCACCCATTCATACACACATTCACACACTGATGATTGTAAGCAACATTGCAGCCATAGCTGCCCTGTGGCAGACTGACAGAGGCGAGGCTGCAATGCACCGGCGCCACCGGACCCTCTGACTACCACCACTAGGCAAAGGTGGGTGAAGTGTTTTGCCTATAGACACAACAGTTAGGAAAGGCTGTGGTTTGAATCAGCAATCCACCAGTTACAGGACAAACCCCTACCTCCTGTCACAACTGTTGCCCTGTTTTAACTCCTAAATACTTAAAAACAGTGTTTGCTTTTATGTTAATATGGTTCCAAATAGAGGACAATACAAAYGCACAGCAAACAAAAAGCTTGGGACTCAACAKGATAAAAGTGTCTGACCAAAGGGGGTCAGTGGGGGCCCACCAATTATTTAGCCATTGCCCCCCGTAGCCCACCCTTGGTGGCACCCCTGTAGGGAAACATTTTGAAGTTGAGATACAGCTGCTACCTGTCAATGTCCTGATTTAGTTRTATCCCACAGTTTAGTTATCACATTGCAGAAACATTAGTTCGACATTTTTGATCCATTTTAAAGCTTTTAGAGAGAAAATAGTTGATTATTTGCTTTATCAGAGATCACTTGTAAAGTTTAGTTAAGGAATCAYAAGTCATACTCCGCTTTGTCACAATCTGATTAGCAAAAATTGTAAATGCGCAGCTAGCTGCTGAGGCCTGGAGGCTGTTTTTTTTCTCCTGAGCTCTGTGCTTCGCCCTGCCTCGCAGACCCGGCTCTTCGTTCGACGCACACCGGCCGGCCGGTGAACTGCTGGTCACACCCCCCTCGTCTCTTCCTCCCACACTCGTTTGGTTTAGAAAAAAACGTGATTGGCGTGGCCAAAGCAGCCAATCGCAAGCCGCCTCGACGTGGACGCGTGCCAAAGTGTAATGTTTATGTACGCAGCGGACCAATAGGAGTGCAGCAGAGGGGGCGTGGCATCCGTTTGGAGAAAAGAGGCAAAACAATCTTTTATCTTCCGAACCGGGCGGCTTCTTGGATATCCTGGGTCTCGGTGGTGGGAAACTTTTACATGTAGACTAGCATAGAAGTTATCAAACAGGCAGGTTTTGTTAAACTGCGACAATCCCGATAAATGTATCAAACTCCTTTAACTTGCACTAAAATCTACCGAAAGCCGATTTTCCTTCTTTAGTCTCCACGCGCCCCGACTAAATATGGAGTCCAAATATATCTTCGAGAAGTCGTCGATTGGGACGAGCGTCGGTGTGGCGGATTTCAGCTACCGGACAGGCCGCTCTGTGCTTCTCGACAGCCGGGTCCCCGTCGCGGTGGAGAAAAACAGCTCGGTGCTGCCGGCGTACACGCAGGCCCCCGTCTTCTACAAACTCGTAATGGACGGCGGCTCGACGGCGGAGGTTAAAAGCGAGCGAACTTCGTCCAGCGGCAGGGGGAACGGTCGAATATTTCCGGACGTGGAAAAAGTGAGTGTAAATAAATAAATTAAAAAAAAAACCGACGACTTATTTTACAAGCTGTCAAAGTCACACGCACGTTCAAGTCACCTAACTCACAATATCAAGTAACTTTTCCTGACCCGCTTTTACAYGCTCAGTGTGTGTGTGTTTGCTTCTGACCGCCATACACTGACGCTAACAGCTCTTCAGGCCTTTTACATTAACATCAGGTGTTGAAGAACAAGCTGACTTTTTGAAGGCGTTTATTTCACTAACTATCGTAAAGCATTTACGGTGCATTATTACAGCTTTAAATGGCGGCTTATTCTGTGTGTAAAGTTTACAGGGAAAAAAAAGGGGGGCAGGGACTCTAAACTACACGGGCTCTCCCCTCCCCCCTGGTTTCAGGGTGGAGCTTAGACGTGGGCTTCCTGGCTCCTCTCAATACTGTACATACATGTAAACTGACATGCATTTAACCACTGCTCTGACTTATCTTACATATTGTTTTTTTTTTTTACTAATATTGCATGCATGCTTCTGTAATTAAAATATTAAATATCAAAATGGGCATAGTCAAAACAACCACAAGTATCTTTTAAATCAGCTTTTTCTTATGAAAAGAAGAGAAGTGGATTCTGTCTGTTTATAGGGGTAGTTCTCAGGCTGCGGGCAGGCCCCTTCAGGTGTATGTATAGAAGAAGGTGGTGGGGCACAGGTATGTGTTACTAGGTCGGAAATATTGRATGGAAATGTTAAATCTAAATATTTTACTGGGTCACCGTCCATAGATGATACTATGCTGGTCATTTCTTTTTTTTTGCAGAAACGCCACCTGGTTGCTCATACATCACTTACCCAATAGTTGTTAATGATTAATAACAAAAATGTTTTTTCCCCTTTCTTTTTCGGGTGGAGTGAACTTTTTATGGCTTTTGTCAGAGCTAGATATAGAATTTAAAATATATTGTTCACATGTCTTGTTGTTGTTGTTGTTGTTGTTGTTGTTGTTGTTGTTGTTGTTGTTGTTGATTTTTTATCCCTCCAAAAATGCACTGCACCTTTCTTGTTTTACATGCAAACAGCAGCTACTTCTTGTCATAAGCCACATTAAACATTAGCTTTTCCACTGTGTAGTACTTATTATTATGTATGTAAATAGGAAGCAGGAACATAACTGAAATGACAAAAAAAGCATTGAAGCATGGCGTACTTTTTAAATCAATCATTATTTATTTTTATGTCTGATGATTTGCGTTAACTAGGGACACATTTTTTAATGCTGCACGTAGGGTTGGGCATAATCGTGTCGTGTGCAATTAATCGTCAGAAAAATGTTAATCGATTATTTTTTGGCACTTGATGATTAATACGATTAATGCCACCAGGCAGAGTCTGCTCGGTGCTCCTCTTCGCTTCAAATATGATGAACATGAAAAAAAAAAGTTCTGTAATTTATTTATCTATCAACGCAATTTAAAATTTGATGTATAACCTGAAGTCTGTAATTTTGACTCAGTTTGGAACAGATTTTTATGAAGAGGAAATCTTTCCAACTAAATTGGTCATGTGACYAGGACATAAGGGTGTCCTGGGACTCCAGGGGATAATTCGTCAAATTAATCGTTATCGGCTAAATACCCCAATTAATCGTGATAAATTTTTTTGCCAGTATTACCCAACCCTAGCTGCATGTCATGACGATGCATTAAGTACCAAAACATTCTGATAAATGCCACTAACCTATTATAAAGTTACTGTATTTATCTTGTGCRATAACAACCTGACTTCAGCATGCTTTGTTTCATAACACAGGCTGGCCTTGGGGACCAAAAAGACACTGGTTCCTGTGGGATCTTGAAGAGAACCAGTCCTACTCCGTGTCCTGGTGTGACCAGGTCGTTGCCAGGCAGCTTCTTGAATTTGGACATCAGAAACCCAGGGAAACAGGCAGAGCTGGCCAGCAGCTTCAGGGCAGCACAAGGACAGAATGTACCACAGGCAGAAAGACAAGCCCTCTCCTCCTCCCACATCCCCGTCCCCAGAAACAGGTATGGAGGTTGATGCCGTCCCCAACTCTTTCGTGCAACTRAAATATTCGTTTCACATCTTACCATAAACTTTTGGGCAGGCGTGTGATTATCTCCTAAGATTCTGGACAACACTGTTAATTATTGAAGCCTGTTTGGCATGTTTGTTTTTTGTGTTCATTAAGTTTGGRCCAGAGGCAAATTTGGCAGGGATGTTGTTATAAAAGCAATGAGCGCTGGCAGTTTTCATACTAGGCTCCGACTTGTGTTCCTTAAATATTTTGTCACGAAGTAAAATTCAGCATCTGGCTGCAAACAGTACCATGGTTTTGGTATGAATGGTGTGGGGGTGTGCTGGCTAACTGACCGCATGTTTAGTGCTCCATGCAGAACAGTTTCGAAATACTATTCCTTTTTGGCGACCTAGAGTTTTGCAGCAAGCGAGGGCTAGGATTGCTTAATCACTTGACCGAAGCAAGACGAGGTGGATGGAAAATGTTTTACTGATAAGTCATTTAACTCAATTTGGGAAATTTTTCGCTAGTCAGAAGTGTCGCTGTAATTGTGTGTTTTAAACCATACCTTGGTGGATCCACTTTTCTGTTGATGTATTATGTGCTGGCTCCATATCAGGCAGGAAGATAAACTTTCTTGTATCTGAGTGGATTTTGTTTGCAGCGCAGTCGAGGCTGTTTTGGATGGTTTTCTGACAGTCCTATCCGTGTCAGTATAAACTACATGCACATACAGACTGTTTCCCACAGAGCGAGCAAAACATGCATCCAGGGACATGTCTAATGCACTGATAAGTGATTATGTAACATTAAAGAAGACTGGGAGTGTTTGGAGGTGTTGCCCAAGAGCTATTAACCTCTTTTTAACTCAGCTATTGGTTACTTTCTGTGTCAAGTCACGGCCTGTCTCTTAGACGATGCTTATCTATTATTGAAATGTCTGAAGGCAGTACAATGTAAAACCTGGGCAGCTTAATAATTTTTTATGAACCTCTGCTCTAATTTTTAGAGTTATTAGGTTAATATGATTAAAAAAAAGACAATAAATGCAGTGAAATCCAATCAAACAACAAATGAATCAGGTTCCAGCTCCACAAAGTGAGCTTGGATGAGAAAGGTGTGTGAATGGTTTATACTGTGTTTAAACACCTTGCTTCTTTWCTTCCTTTTTTCCTCTACATGAATTTTACATACACTCATGTATGCTGAGATTCAAAGTCTCTGGGGAGCTCACAGGATCGAGTACASTCCTGAATCAGAAGGTTTTCACTTCTTGAATTTTACATCGTTTCTGCTGTGGAGGAAGAAAAAAAAATCTGTTATTTTTGTTTCAGTATACATGTATACCCGATTGAAAAAAAGTGAAAAAAAAAAATTTTTTTTCTTCCCCATTACATTATTTTGTCTCAAAATGCAAACAGATTAGCAAGTTACGACTTGMCAAACAGATGTAGATTTGCAAAACAATAAATATGCTGTTATCAGGGTTCCCGCAAGTCCTTGAAATCCTTGAAAGTTTGTGAATTTGAAAAAAATGATTTCAAGGTCATGGAAAGTTTGTGAAAACAACCAAAATTTACACTTGTCCTTGAAAGTCCTTGAATGTTTTTTTGGGGGGATTTAAGTTATCTATTCACATGACTGATTTTCATCATCTTTAAAAAAACAAATATCTTTCTGGGTAGAGTTTGCATGTTCTCTCCATGCATGTGTGGGTTCTCTGCGGGTACTCCGGCTTCCTCCCACAGACCAAAAACATGACTGTTAGGTTAATTGGTAACTCTAAATTGTCCCTAGGTGTAAGTGAGAGAGTGAATGGTTGTTTGTCTCTATGTGTGGCCCTSTGATGGACTTGCGACCTGTCCAGGKTGTACCCYGCCCCTCTTACTGTGACTGCTGGWTATGGGCACCAGTGACCCWAGAAAAGGAATAAAYGGGTATAGATAATGGATGCATGGATGGAAATAATAACGATAAAATTAAGAAAATRAAAAGCTTACATTTGTTGTGGTGGATAACTCAGGGTTACGGTAAATAAACCTGTGTATTGGTAACGTTCTGCGGTAGCAGTAGGTAATTGCTGTCACGCGTGGTTCTTGAATTTGAGGAAATTGGTACTGGAAAGTCCTTGAACGGTCCTTGAATTTGATGTTGACCAAGGTGTGCGAACCCTGTGTTATATGATAATATTGATTTTTAAATACGTATTAGTAATGACACCATTTTGTTTCTCTGTGACCTTTAATTTAACTCTTTTTCTTGAACCTGTTTGGATCTGTGTTTGTTTTACAGCTGGTGAAAAGGCACTCCCTTTTTTTTTAACAATAATACTCTTGTTTTACCCGTGATTCACTTTTTTGGGTTCACAGCAAGCCACCTTGGGAACTGGATAAAAAGCCCTTATGCCTCACCACATAACTGGTTAAACTTGGTTTGTGGAAGATTGACTAGTTGTTTGTTTTGTTGAATAAACAAAARGAATACGGTGAAAATTTACTAGGAYTTGCAAGCRTTCRAAATAATGYCTTTAGAATGCCTTTCTCTAATTTACTAAATGTGTAAAATCCCAAAAAAGAAACGGTTTGTCAACTCATGCTGCACTAGCTTGAACATGTAGATTTTTTTTGCTTAAAAAAAAAAGCAAGTTAAAGACCCTTTTAAAACAGTTACAAATGTTATTTTTGTTTAACCAATAAATGATTTATTTATACTTTTTCATGCAGATGCAGCAGAGAGTATTTTTTTATTTCTTTTCACTCCTTTGGGATAACCAGTAAGATTTTTTGAAAATGTTGCCACATAAAACGGGTGTTTTGATGAATCTGGCTTTGATTCACTTGCCTTTGATGATTGCACCAAGTAAGAGCTRTTGGGGGCACTGTTTTTTTCTTTAATCGGCTGTCAAACTGGTGACCATGTGGTGAAAATCTCATCGCTGCATCTGTGGGCGTGACCTACGCTGCATTTGTTATAGCCCGCACCCTGCTTTGGATAATGTCAACAAAACCATTTATTTTCATGTGCTCACCACCAGCTTAAGTAATTCCATCAGTGTGCCACAAGACTGAATRTTGTTAGAGAGACCTTCAGCAAGAAAGATATTTCTCAGATCTATRCATGTTTTTTTAAGCTTTTTTTTGCACGTGTAAAATCTTTTTTTTTCCAAAAGCTACAACGATGGCCGCTATTTCTTTGACAAGTTTTGGCAAAGATCTTGCAGGAGTGAGGAAGTGCCAGAAAACCTACCCGCATTTGTGCATTAATATTTAAATCTAAGGCCCAGTTTACATGGAACGATATCTGGAAACATTATTGTTTCTTCAAAATAAATTTAAAAAAAAGTTTGTWCATGGATATTGTGCTTGTTGAATCAGCTGGAGTTWCCATGCCAGACAGGGTTGCCAGATAAGGATATGACTTACTGTTTCGACCCAAACTCTCAAAGGTTCAAGGTGAAGGGGTTCTTTCTCGGAGGAAGTTRTAAAATGAGGTGTGTTTTGTAATTTGCGAACATGTGCACAGAAAAGAAGAGGACAAAAAACCCAGACTAGTAGTTATAGTATATTTGGAAACACTGCAGTCAATGCTGTCTCAGCATGAAAACAGTTATGTTCGTTTGGATTGAGGATGAGGTAGGGTTGCTCCTACTACATACTGTAAAGAATGGCAAATAGCACAAACGACACCCTGCTACCCGCCATTGTTCATCTACTGTACTCGCACAAGCACAGAAAAACTGACTGCCCCCGCTTATCATACACACAATTTTAAACCTCTGCAGTTTTTTTTTTCAAAAATCTCTACTCTGAGACCTGGATTCAGAAAACTTCAGGTCAAGATGAACCAAGCACAGCGTACATGTACACAAATGGCTGAACCACAGCAGAAAGCCTACAGTTTCACTCCACTGAGCCTGAGTCAAACCTACACAGCACATTTCATAACTTCTACCCGTTATGTCGACTGCACCTCCATGAGTGTCATCATCACTGTTTCCTATGTTCTGACTGATTGTGTCTTTTGCCCACACCCCCAAAGCCGTTCAATCCGTCAGTACTCATCATTGTGGGATCCAGTGCACTGATAACCAAAGAAAGACTTGATAGGATGAACAACAAAAGGGAAAAAAAAGATACAAATGATGAGGAGAAGGATCATTTTATTTGGATTTGAGAAGCTTGTCTACTTTATCTCGTCTTGGTCAGGTGCGCTGTCACCACAGTTGGCTAACATGAATGGAAAACATTGAGTCAGCATAAACAAGACACCAAAGCAGCCAACTGCAGCGAGGGGGGGAAGGGTCTGTAGTTGGGTGAAAAAGAGAGCTTTTTTTCCCTACTTTTGCTGACGTGCTTTTGACTCAGCCTGTGTAATGGTCAATAGCACAGCTTAGATCAAGCAAACATGCAGGAGGGAGTAAAGTCCATCACCTTTCGACCCTCCCCCCACCACTTCACCGCTAATGCTCTGCTCCCAAAGGAGACATTACAGCCGGCTGTTGAAGGTCAGAGTCAGAGGAAAGCCTACCCACCCCCACTCCAGTCTGGGATGTTTAACCCACATCCAAACTGCTGACATGGCCTCCTAAGTAAAAGTGGCACCGCTGCTTTTCAGGTGGCTGCTTTCTTTTAAGTGTTTGTTTTAAATATTTATTTAGTCTGTCAGTCTACTCATCGGATGCAAAATTCATTCTTAGCATGATGCCACATTTTCATGTGTCAGCGCACCCCCCCCCCCCCACACACACACACACACACACACCCCCACCCCCCCACACACACACACACAACCTTTTTCTTTTCATTTTTTTTTCAAATTGCATGGGATTAAAGCTTTTTCTCTGACAGGCAGAGGTGAAAGGTCGCTCCCATTGAATAGAGTTATGGGGGGGTTGGGGGGTGAGAGCGAGAGATCAGGATACGAACAGGCATCTGGCACGTCTGGTAGGTCAATCTCAGGGTCTGGGTCGTGGAGCTTTCAAATTTAACCTGCTTTCAGGTGTTAGGC